TCACCTACGCACCTGTCGGGCGGCACACTTCAGTACGGATTCCCATCTGCATCGCAGCTGTCAAACAGCACCCACTCCGCCAGATCGACATCGGCAGCGCATTCTTGCACGCTCCGGTTGACGCCATCATCTTCGTCGAGGATAACGATGGCGCCGTCTGCTTGCTCCAGAAATCTCTCTACGTGATTAAGCAAGCACCTCGCTTGTGGCAACAGTATCTACATACCGTGCTCACAGAGCTCGGATTCAAACAACTGCCCCACGACCTCGGAATGTACCGGAAGGACTCGCGCGGCAAATTCATTCTCCTTGTCGCCTACGTCGATGATCTCCTCTACACCGGTGACGACACGGAGCTACTGGACCAGTTCGAAGCGGACATCAAGGGGAAACTGGAGGTCACAATCAACCACGACGTTACACAATTCCTGGGTCTCAACATCACCCAGTCCGCCACCTCCATCCACCTCTCCGCCGCAAAATATGCCAAAACTCTCGCGAAGAAATTCGGCATTGCACCCATCAACCTCACAACCCCCTTTCGCACTCCTCCTCCTAACCACGAACCAGACACCACGTCTCTCTCTCTCTCGCAAATCATCGGCTCTATCAGCAGCAGCTGGGGTGCCTCCTGTTCGCCGTTGTCACGTGCCGGCCGGATCTCTCCTACGTCGCAAGCCAGCTCGCTCAGTACAAGAAGCGACCTGAAGGGGAGAATCTACTGGATCTACGCCGAGAACTTCAATACTTCATCTCTACTCCCGACATCGCCCTCACCTACGAAGCTAACTTAACAGCTACCCTGCAACTGCATGGCTACGTAGACGCAGACCACGCGGGAGACATCGACAACAGACGTTCCCGCACAGGATTCATTTTTCAACTCCAACCTGCTGGACTCATCTCATGGAACTCTCAGAAGCAGGAACTCATCGCTCTTTCGTCAGCCAAAGCCGAATTCATTGCCTCCAGCGCAACCGTTCGCGAAGGACTGTACCTGATGGAGCTCCTACAGGAAGTGAAAGTGACGATGAACGGGCACTTCACGTTACTCTGCGACAACCAGAGCGCGATCAAAATCGCGAACAAGCCCGGCTTCGTAAACCGCACGAAACACATCGCCCTTCGTTACTTTTTCGTCAAGGACGAAATTGACAAGGGCAAGGTCAAGCTCACGTACTGCCCAACTGGTGACATGGCGGCCGACTTTCTGACAAAGAAACTGCCACATAAACAGTTCCAGCATTGCGCCAATATCTGCGGAATCACCAAGAAGTCCCACGTGGCTCACCTTCAGGAATGAAGGGGAGTGTTGAAATAATCGAAAGGTTATCGTAAACATTCCCGAAGGCTCTCCACTCTCGCGTCACTTCATAATGAAGTAAAGCGCCTGTATTAGTACCGCAATAGCTCATATAGAGCACGCGGAAAGTCAAGGGTCACCCGAAGTTCAACAGTTGAAGACAGTCAACGGTCGTGACCCTTGACTGCCGCACAAGGCAGTTGCGAAGTGCAACGTGGTAACTGTCTAGAATGGCAATAGTCGTGGTTACTATAGCAACGTAATTCAGTTAATAAGGGAATGTACCCCTCCGAGTATATGGCTAGCTAGGATTGCTATTTATACTCTTGTACTCCTATCTTACAATCATCTTGTTCTTTCAAATCTTACAACAAGGTCATCACAGAGACTTCATAAGTTCTCTCATATAACTTGGCAGCTTTATCCTATCCACTACGATCCTTCAGGTACAACATCATCCAGCAGCTCCAACTCTAGCACCTCCAGTACCAGCATCTCCAGTACCTCCAGCACCTCTAGCACCAGCAGCTCCAGTACCTCCAGCACCTCCAGCTCTAGCACCTCCAGCACCAGCAGCTCTTGTACCTCCACCACCTCCAACTCCAGCACCTCCAGCACCAGCAGCTTCAGTACTCCAAGCTCCAGCAACCCGGCCCCGCCAAACAACCCAGTCGCGATGCTGCTGCGGCGAGAGGGTCTCTTGTCGACAAGACTGCTGCTGCTGTCCAACGCCAGAACCCCCAGCAGGAGCACCCACGACTCCACCACCAATAGGACTTGCAGCACCCCCAGTGTCAGCACCCCCAGAACCGGCTGTCAAAGGTCCACTGGTGATCCCCGATTGATCCTAGAGAAGGGTTACAGGCTCGTTGTCCTGGGGGATTATGGGCGCACTGACCCGCTACTTAACAAGCCCTCTTATCCCAATGGTCTAGTGGTTGGGATTCTGACATGGTATCAGAGCGAAGGTCTCGGGTTCGAATCCCGGTGTGTGCACTTCGGGCATCCCAGTGCGGGGGGGTGTCAGAGGTCCACTGGTGATCCCCGATTGATCCTAGGGAAGGGTTACAGGCTCGTTGTCCTGGGGGGTTATGGGCGCACTGACCCGCTACTTAACAAGCCCTTTTATCCCAATGGTCTAGTGGTTGGGATTCTGACACCGGCACCCCCAGAACCAGCACCCGTAGACTCAGCACCCCTGGAGGCAGCATCCTCATGACCAGCACCTCCAGAGTCCGCACCCCCAGTATCACCACCCCGAGTAGTACCAGAGTTCACAACGACAGGCTGCGGAGGCGGCGAAGACGGCCGAGGCGGAAAACCAGGAGGGGTCTCCAAGCGCGGGGAGCGGCGAATGGCCCCCGTGTTGTCAGCAGCGGGGTCACCCCCATTAGCTGGGCCAAAGGGGTCAGAGGAGACCTCCAAAGGCTCAACCAAGGAGGGTGGGTCGACCCGAGACACACCTGAGGGAGCAGGACCCTATGGGGGGAGGGGGTCTACTAGGGGGGGACCTGGGACCAGGAAGAGGGGCGGGGGGAAGACACGTGCGGGTGGAGACAGTTGAAGAAGACCGACCCGTCAAAGGTGACGTCCTGTGAGGACAGGACGCAGCGCGAGGCAAGGTGGTAAAACTGCCAGAGCGGAGCATCGGTGGGGAAGCCAAGAAAGACGCCGCGGAGAGTGCGAGGAGAGAGCTTGCCCGCGGTGGTATCGCGGACAAGGGAGAGCGCGCTCCAGGCCCGAAACGCCGACGCATCGCCAACCTCCCCCATCCAACGCAGTGTAGGCGAGGTCTTTGGCATAGAGACACGGTGCCAGAGGTTGAGCTGATGCGCGGCGTATCGGACCGCAAACGGTGCTTATGATTATGACTCATTTAGAAGCTCACCCCCCCTAAAAAACATTGTTTCATTATATGCGCACGTGCGCTTATATCTGGGGTGATACGGGTGTTATGCAACACATATTATTTGTCAGCTACTACTACCTATCATATACGGTAGGTGAGATGCTGAGCTGAATGCCAACTTAATGCCATAGGACACGTTAAGATAAGATTTACAAACCCTAAAATACAGTAGGGGCTGTCTGTCAGTATCACACAGAATTTGTCTGATGGTTAAAAAATAGGGCAATGTGTTAATCTGATTTTGTAGACAACTTGATTAATCTCACACGAAAGTTCAGTTCAGATCTGAATTCGTTTGATTATTCAGAAATGTTATCAGACCTACTGTCAGAATGTGAGAATGACCAGAATGAAAGCGTACAGGTTGGATATGTAACCGTACAATCCCGTACCCTCTACATATCACATCAACCCACTCCAATAGGTAGTAGTCTGGTTATTATGGATTAAGTTTGATACAAAGTCGTGGTAATTAAGAGAAGGGGTATTAGAGGAAGGTATAGATGGTGGAACAAAGAAAGGGTGATAAGGAGAGAAGAGCTGGAGAAGAAGAGAAGGGCCGAAGGAAAGGTGGAAAGAGGAAAAGAAGAGAGGAAGAAACTAAAAGGAGGAAACACCTAAGGACCAAAACACCACAGCAACCCGCACCATAGCGCGGGACACGGCTTTTCAAGCACAAACGCTAAACGCCTACACATATGCATCGTACATATACTGCATATCTGCCACGCTCTCAAAGCAGCCGATAATGTGATGCCAACTGCCCTGCCCTGCACCCTAAGGGACTAGTGCGGGCATCCACCCATCGTCTGACCCTCCCAACTGCCGCACCGCGTGCTGTATAATACTCTGAGCCTGCACTCGCTGTAGTGCCACGGAAAGTCGTGTAGTGAGTCCGGTCTCAAAAATCCGTGCTGACCCGTCATCCCCCCCCCCCCAAGGTCTTTACGCCGCTGTGCAATCCGCCGCGCACAAAGCCCTAGAAACTGCCTCATTGGCTCGCTGAGCAACCCAAACGTCTCCACTACACAAGCATAAAAGTGTGGCGGCGGTTGTAATCCCTCTAGATGCGGTGCCCAGTCCCGCAACTTGTCCTGCACTCGTCTGGCTGCTGCAACACCTATCTGCACTGGGGCCACTCGTCTAAGCCCGGTATTCCCCTGTTGCTGTGGATATGCAATGGAGACGTCTACCAACACCATCAAAGTTTTTACTATATCGCGGCAAGTCAGATCTGGAATGCGGGCTGGTGCCCCTATGTGGCCTGTGCGTCCAGCCTGCCTTTGCTGTTGTACTGGCTGCTGCTGTGCCTGGTCCCTCTGTGCCTCCTCCCTTGTCGTCTCTGCCTCTCTATCCTCTCCCCCACCCACCTGCCTCCTCCCATCCCCTCTCCCCAACCCCAAAACCCCCAGCACCCTCGCCCTATCCCCCCCTTCCATACCCTCCACTCCTAACCCCTGCGCTCCCACAGTTGTGTTCCCCGCCAACTCCTCTCTCCCTCTCTCCCCGAACCAGCCCGCACCCAAGGGCTGGGTCGCCCCCTGGACCCGGAGCCCGACCAGCCCTTGCTGGCCATCCCGCTGCTGCCCCTGCTGTCCCCTCTCCTCTACCCCACTCACCGGCCTCTCCTGCCCCTGCTGAACCTCCTGTTGCTGGCTGTGCTGTCCTCTCTCCTCTCCCCCACTAACCTGCCCCTCCTGCCATTGCTGGCCATGCTGTTGCTGCTGCTGCTGCTGCTGTTGCTGCTGCAACTGCTGCTGCTGCCGCTGCTGTCCCCTCTCCTCTCCCCTAGTAGCCTGGCCCCGTTAACCCTCCTGCTATCGCCCCTGTTGACCTTCTTGCTGCTGCCCCTGCTGACCCTCTTGCTGCTGCTCTTGCTGTCCTCTCTCCTCTCCCATACTGGCCTGCCCCTCCTGCCCCTGCTGGCCCTCCTGCTGTCGTCGCTGCTGTTGCTGTCTCCTCTCCTCCTCCCAGCCAGGCTGCCCCTGCTGACCCTCACGCCGCTCCCCATGCTGACCCTCCTGCTGCCGCCCCTGTTGACCCTGCTAACCTTCCTGGTGCTGCCGCTGTTGCCCTCTCTCCTCTCCCCTACAAACCTGTTGCCGCTGCCCCTGCTGGCCCGGCTGCTGCTGCTGCCGCTGCTGCTGCTGCCGCTGCGACTGCTGCTGCTGCTGCTGCTGCTGTCCACTCTCCTCTCCCCCACTAGCCAGCCCCTCCTGCCCCTGCTGGCCCCGCTGCTGCTGTCCATGCTGTCCCCTCTCCTCACCCCTACGGGTCTGCCCCTCTTGCCCCTGCTGGCCTAGCTGCTGCTGTTGCTGCTGCTGCCGCTGCTGCTGCTGTCCCCCCTCCTCTCCCCCACTAGCCAGCCCATCCTGCCCCTCTCGGCCCTCCTGCCCACCAGCCCCTCGACCGAGCCCACCCTGCTGCTACTGCTGTCCCCACGGTGCCCCTGACTGTCCCGGTACCCCGTCCCCCGTCCCCGAGAGTCCCTGCAGTCGCGCTCTAGCTGCCTCCAGATGCAGAATCAAGCTGGTGTCCTCCACCTTCACCGCGAAACCTGCCTCAGAAGCAAAGTCCCGAAGCATGTATGTCACGGTGTCGTGGATGACCGTGGCGACGCCGAAGCGGGAGCACCGCACCACGTGGTGAGGTTCCGTCATGTCGTCGATCGCGTGCCCACAAGAACACCGACCTGCGAGGGCTATTTGGGGGATAGGGAGGCCGAGACGGAAAGCTGAGGCCACCTGCCACTGCGCCTCTGGGATGCGCAGCGAGTCTGCGTACGGCACCGCCGTCAACCACGCGCCTGCACCTGCGCCCTGAAGGGATGTCAAACGGGCAAGGTGCAAGGGGTTAGTGTGACGGGCCCGGACTGACTCCAAGGCCCGCGCCCCCAAGACGCGGCTCACTCCTGTGAAAAGAGAATCAGGGGCAGCAGAGACACAAGATTTCCAGGGGGGGAAGAGAGAGAGGATGTCACGTGGGAGGCCCTCCAGCGCCGTCCGCAGTGATCGATCGATCTGGTCAACATCATCTGATGCGAAGCTCTGTCGGAAGCTCGCGCCGCACACTGGGAGGGAGCAAAGGATCGGCGCGCACTGTACCCAAGAGCACGCATATCTCACCGGGGCGATACGCTCCATGCGTCGGATGCCTAAACCCCCTAGACGTATGGGGAGGTAGATCTGGTCCAGGGCAGCCTCACGAACGTCCTCTCTGCAAGTCCAAGTCCCAGGCACCAGAAGCTGCTGAAAGGTCTCCCCCAACCGCTCATCCCACCGTGCAAAAATGGCACGTACAGCCGGGGTCGGAGGGACCGTCCTCGCCAGATACTGCGGTCGCGTGCTGACGCATGCCGAAAGTAGACGGGCCACTGTCTGGGGCTGGCGCAGTCTCGGAAGCCACGGCAACACGCGCCCCATCCTCTCCAGACGCTCAGGTAGGCTCCTCTCCACAAAAGCGTCAGAGCCCACCGGCACTCCCGTGACGATGAGTCCTCTGCGAGCGACCTCGATCTTCAGACTCGTGAATGCCTCCACCTCTTTGGAAGTCACAAAATCCCTGCCGTAGACGAGACACTTGTGTGGCTGGACTGCAAGGCCCAGCTCGTGCAAGTGCCTCACAATCTCTGCGAAGTGGTGTAGCACCCTGGAAGGAGGGCCCAGCACGTAAGTGTCATCTGCGTATGACCATAGCTGGACATCGCCCTCAGCTAGAACTGGCTGTAGAGCCATGCGCTGCGTGAGTGCATACAGGAACGGGCTGAGCGGGTCGCCCTGACGGGTCCCGCGCTCCGAGTGAATGGTGGTCACCCTTCCGTTCCCCCGGTAAAGGAGATCGGAGGGTGTCCCGTAGAAAAGGCGAATGAAAGGAATAAAATAGCGGAACTCAGCACTAGTGTAGAGGGCCTGGAACATGGCGTCTCAATGAAACGAGTTAAAGGCGTTCGCCACGTCCAGCTGAAGAACCACCCAGTTAGGGTGGTCATCCAGGGTGCGACGAACGCCTCTAACCACGACCTCTGTCCCACACGTAACGCCCACCCCAAACTGCTGTGACCCAAGAAAACTCTAGCCATCTGGTCCCGCAGCTGCAAGCATACTGCGCGAGAAAGGATGCGAATCAGAACCTCACCTATCGCGATAGGACGCACATCCAGGTTCGGTTTCGCGAGAGCGACCAGGGTGGACAATGTCAATAGCGACCGAGCTGCCGGGGCGCAGTAGCCTCGCAGCCAAAGCTGGTACACAGCGAGCAGGCTAGGGAGGCTCTCAGGAAAGGCAAGGAAAGTATCTCGAAGATGCTCGGCAACCCAGCCTGTCGGTCCTTCGGACGACCCGTGCGGGGCTGTGAAGATGGCGCGGCGGAGGTGATCCATAGAGAGCACAAGGGCAGTATCCTGGAAGGCCGGTAGCCAATCTGGAGTCGGTCGCTCTGCGACGGGATGCTTGCTCCGCAGACGTTGCATCGTACTCTCCGTGTCAGGTGCCGCCTCTGCTGACTCCACGGCCGCGCAGGCCCGCGAGGTCTCATTGCAAGCCGCCATACGCAGGCAGCGGGCAATGCGACGGTCATCCGGTGTGGGGGAGAAAGTGGTGGCGCGAGCGTGCCGTACTGCTCGTAGAGGAAGGGGAGTACGTCGATGTAGGGCCTCAGAGATGAGCTCGTCCAACTCACCTCGTCCAAAACGGATGATGCGCGCTGCAATGGCGGCCGTGTTTGAACGCTCTGGCGGTGTCGCCGGGGCCAGTAGGAGCGTCGCTGCCGCCGCCAAGAGGAGAGTAGGGCCTGGTGCCTCTGGGTCCTGGGAGACCCGTGCTAAGATGGCGCAGAGGATGTCTAGATACCCACCGCGGACCCTCGGGGGGATACGCCGAAGAGGACGGGCATGAATGCGCTCCGGGGCAAAGTACTCCGACCACCGGACGGAGTCAAGCGAACGCCACTGTGCATTTGTGAACTGCATCCCCTGAGCTCGGGGCTCTGCTAGGGAAGGTAGAGCTGAGGCCCTGTCGCGGAGGGCAAGCGCCCTCCGAGCTGCGTCGGCAGGGTGGCAGAATGGCATGTGGTGTCGGAGTGCTCGGCGGTTCGCGAGGGAGCTCAGGCATGTGGGGCACCTCACGACCTGACGTCGCTGTGTCGGTGGGGTCGGCCGTGGCCGTGCCCTCGGAACTATCTGCCGTGGTGATAGGTGGGGCTGGTGATGGGGATGGGTGGGGTGAGGCAGGCAGGAGTGGTGCACCTACATCTGCGTCAGAAGCGCACGGTCTGAAGATCAGATCGGTCTCCATCGGAGAAGGGTGGAAGGGTTTGTGCAGGATGGGGGCTGCAAGAGGGGGGTCCATGAGGGGGGCTTCGTGGGCGTGTACCACTGGGGCCGGGTGGGTGGGAGTAGGGAGGGGTATGCCAGTGTTCCGTATCGCCAGCAAGTCAGATACAGCCGCCCCCAAGCCCGATGAGGGCTCCGACGCCTCCAGGTCTGTGAGGGAGGGAGGGTGATCTGGTCCAGCGAGAGAAAACTGAAGCACCGCCGGCCCATGTGGCTGGGTTGCATGTGGTTGTCGCACCGGCCTTAACTCACCCTCCAGCCCTCTCAGCTGAGCTGTCGGGAGCAGGGTTGGGGCTGCACGCAGTGGTGGGAAGGGGGGTATGAGAGATTAGTGCAGCCTCATCCTCACCCGTCATTCTGTCAACCCCAACTCCAACTACCTCCATCCTAGTGGGGAGGGCGTCATCCTGAGTGGCAACCAGATGTTTGTGGGGAAGGATTGCGCCGGTGAAACCTCCACCGTGTGCCTGCAAAGGCGAGGGTTTATCTGGGGGGGGATTGCTGGGTGATGAGCCCATGTGAGGGTCGCCTGGAGCAGGTTGGGCAGAGGGGGCGGGAAGTAGACCTGCAGGTGGGGCAGAAAACGGAGGTGGGGGTGTGGAACTTAAGCCCTCCCCGCCTCTGGAAGGAGGGGAAGGGGGGGAATGTTGGCGCGGCGAGATGGCTCAACATGAGACCTCCATCCACCCGTGGGACCTCCCGAGGTGGCGGGAGCCGGTGGCGTGGTAGATACCAAACGGTGCTGGTTGTGGGATGGTGAGTGGGCCTGTGCGGGTGCAAGCGGGGGTCAATGGGCTGGGAGAGGGCGGTGGTGACCATGGGGTGCCTGGGGCTGCGAGGGTGGTGATGATGATAATGATGGGGGATGGTAGGGGAGAGGCAAGTTCATAGCAGTGGGATGAGGTGCCGGTATCCGGCGCTGTGGAATTGTGTAGCGTACGGGGCGGAGGGGAGTCGGTGCGGGGGTTGATGCGACTGAACCAAGCGCCTCGGACATGTGCACATCTGCCGGTGAGGGCGGACCTGGTAGAAGGGGAGGTAGTAATGGCTGGGAGTTGATAGTCGGGGAGCAGGGCTCCTCTAGGAAAGCCCGGGCCTTAGCTGCCCCACTTAATTCGCGAGAATGCCTGTAAGAGTGGGGGCAAAGGGTGGGTGCTCCTGGGGGGGAGTGGGTTAAAAGATGCGGGGTGTGGATGGGTGCAGTCTCCGGATTCCCTGTCCTCGCTGTTTCCTCCTGCCCCTCTATTAAAGCTCCTGACTGCATGGGAGTGGGCCTGGGGGGGGCAGGGAGGACCTCGTCATGGGGCTGTGGTGGGACTGCAGCGTCCCCATTGCTGCCAGCCTCTCCTGCGGCCCGCGCCACTCCGTCTGCGGTCTCTGCCGCTCCTGCAGCAGACTCCTCTGCCCCAGCTGTGGCCTCTACCGTCCCTGGTGACCGTGCTAAAGCCCTGTCCCTAACTTCAGTCGCAACCCCGTCTGGTGCAGCGGTCGCCGCCCCATCTGCCACCTCTGCGACCACTGCTGCCCTTTCTCCAACCGCCGATGTTCCTTCTTCGTCAGCTCCTGATACCGCCCCCACGCTGGCGGCCCTCGCTGTACCTCCGCGCTGTAGCTGCACTTGCCCGCCGCCATGCGGCAGCTGCTGCCCTCCATCTTGCAGCTCTTGTTGCCCCCTCGCCAACACCCCATGCTGCCCTCCAACCTCCAGCCCTTGCTGGCCCCTTACAAGCCACCCCTGTTGCCCTCCTCTCCCCCCTCCCTTGCGGCGCCTCCGCTCTTGCCGTTGAGCCAGTACCTCCAGCACCTCCAACACCAGCAGCTCCAGTACCTCCAGCACCTCCAGCTCTAGCACCTCCAGTACCAGCAGCTCTTGTACCTCCACCACCTCCAGCTCCAGCACCTCCAGCACCAGCAGCTTCACTACTCCAAGCTCCAGCAACCCGGCCCCGCCAAACAACCCAGTCACGAAGTTGCTGCGGCGAGAGGGTCTCTTGTCGACGAGACTGCTGCTGCTGTCCAACGCCAGATGCCCCAGCAGGAGCACCCACGACTCCACCACCAATAGGACTTGCAGCACCCCCAGTGTCAGCACCCCCAGAACCGGCACCCCCAGAACCAGCACCCGTAGACTCAGCACCCCTAGAGGCAGCATCCTCATGACCAGCACCTCCAGAGTCCGCACCTCCAGTGTCACCACCCCCAGCAGTACCAGAGTTCACAACGACAGGTTGCAGAGGCGGCGAAGACGGCCGAGGCGGAAAACCAGGAGGGGTCTCCAAGCGCGGGGAGCGGCGAATGGCCCCCATGTCGTCAGCAGCGGGGTCACCCCCCTCAGCTGGGCCAAATGGGTCAGAGGAGACCTCCAAAGGCTCAACCAAGGGGGCTGGGTCGACCCGAGACACACCTAAGGGAGCAGGACCCTATGGGGGGAGGGGGTCTACTAGGGGGGGGCCTGGGACCAGGAAGAGGGGCGGGGGGAAGACACGTGCGGGTGGAGACAGTTGAAGAAGACCGACCCGTCAAAGGTGACGTCCTGTGAGGATAGGACGCAGCGCGAGGGAGGGTGGTAAAACTGCCAGAGCGGAGCATCGGTGGGGAAGCCAAGAAAGACGCCGCGGAGAGTGAGAGGAGAGAGCTTGCCCGCGGTGGTATCACGGACAAGGGAGAGCGCGCTCCAGGCCCGAAACGCCGACGCATCGCCAACCTCCCCCGTCCAACGCAGTGTAGGCGAGGTCTTTGGCACACAGACACGGTGCCCGTCCAAAACACTGCTTCATTATAAGCGCACGTGCGCTTATATCTGGGGTGATACGGGTGCTATACAACACATATTATTTGCCAGCTACTCCTTAGGTGCTTCCTCCTTTTAGTTTCTTCCTCTCTTCTTTTCCTCTTTCCACCTTTCCTTTGGCAATTCTCTTCTTCTCCAGCTCTTCTCTCCTTATCACCCTTTCTTTGTTCCACCATCTTTACCTTCCTCTAATACCCCTTCTCTTAATTACCACGACTTTGTATCAAACTTAATCCATAATAACCAGACTACTACCTATTGGAGTGGGTTGATGTGATATGTAGAGGGTACGGGATTGTACGGTTACATATCCAACCTGTATGCTTTCATTCTGGTCATTCTCACATTCTGACAGTAGGTCTGATAACATTTCTGAATAATCAAACGAATGCAGATCTGAACTGAACTTTCGTATGAGATTAATCAAGTTGTCTACAAAATCAGATTAACACATTGCCCTATTTTTTAACCATCAGACAAATTCTGTGTGATACTGACAGACAGCCCCTACTGTATTTTAGAGTTTGTAAATCTTATCTTAACGTGTCCTATTGCATTAAGTTGGCATTCAGCTCAGCATCTCACCTACCGTATATGATACACGCTCATTTCCCTCCCCAAAATGAGCAACTTTCAGGGTTTGATGGAATGACAAGCCCTTCATGGATGAAGCTGATTTCTACGCAGTTCTGGCAGATAGCATTGAACTCCGCATGGAACATGCGATACCCAAGGTTCTCCAGTGCGTACAGCGCAGGGAGAAGAAGTGCTGGTTTGTGTAGGCTGCGGGCACAGGTACGGGGGGGAGGGGAAACCACATGAAAATAAAGCCACATGGTTTTGCTATTGAAAAGGCTTTCTATGGGGATAATGTGCACAACCATGAGACGAACGACAACACTAGAAATAGATGTCGGGGACGAGAAGGACGAGAGGAAACTGAAAGTGGGAGTGGAAACGAGAGGATTTTGATGTACAAGGACAAGGACATTTGAGAGAGAGAGAGAGAGAGAGAGAGAGAGAGAGAGAGAGAGAGAGAGAGAGAGAGAGAGAGAGAGAGAGAGAGAGAGGAGAGGAGAGGGTATGAGGTAACAATGTTGGTATGTATGCCTCATATACTTACCTGCATGCCTGTACCCATGGAACTAATGCAATGACCATATGAGAGAGAGAGAGAGAGAGAGAGAGAGAGAGAGAGAGAGAGAGAGAGAGAGAGAGAGAGAGAGAGGGGGAGAGGGGGAGGAGGGGGGAGAGAGAGGTGGGGGGAAGAGGGAGAGGGTGGGCACGTGTGTGGGTTCTTACTGGTGGAACTCCATGAGGATCTGCCCAAACGGCAGCGCGCCGCCATGGATGGCGAGCTTGGCAGGTTCGGAGCCATAAGAGGCGGTCATGTCCTTGATGACTTCCAGCTCGCAGCCCTCGCAGTCGATCTTGAACACGTCCACATACGTGTGGTTCATCAGCGCCAGCATGCGTGGCAGCGTCACAAAGAGCTTCGTGGGGTTCTTGCGGCGGTACGTCTGCAGGTCCGCCTCGCCGGACAGCCCGATGGCGCGGAAGTGCAGGAAGGGCAGGTCGCGCATCTGCTCCTCCACCGCCGGCTTCAGGAAGGGGTCGAACGTGAAGATGGCGCCCGCGTGCGCCCTCGCGAAGTCCTCCTCGAAGTCATACGAACCCCGGCTGCCAATGCTGCACGCAGCGATGCACGTTCAGAGACATGCAAGTAGCGTTAGCGGGGTGGGGTGGGAAGAAACACGAGAAGCGGACGAGGAAGGCGGAAGAGCTACCACTGTGGAAACTGGGAAGAGGGAGGTCACGAGAGAGTAAGGGGGTGAGGAAGGGAGTAGAATGCTTGGGCGGGACGGAGAGTAGAGAGAGAGAAAGAGAGAGAGCCAGGACGCAAACACAGCAGGGCCGAGAAGTTCAATAGAACGAGAGGCAGCGGCGCAGCCGAGTACTTGATGATTGGCTGAACGGGACGCATGGGCTGGGGGAGCAGTGGGGAGGGGGCAGCGCACCTGTAGACCGTGGTGGTGCGCTGGAATACTCCCGGTATCATGCACGTCCACTGTTGCCATGCACACGGCGAGAGGGCGAGGCGGGAGGAGGGAGAGCGGCAATGAAGAAGGGTGAGATTAGGGGAGGACATGAGACGGATTGAGGGGAGACAGGGCAGGGGTACAAAGAGAGATGTCGATAAGGAGAGTGGAAAGATGGAATAATGCCTGGTTGACTTCACGGAGTATTTCAACGTGTCCACCACCAACCGTGCAGCTGCCGCACTCATATCGCTACTAATGCCTGACCCGCACTTGCACAGTTTCACCAACATCCCTCCGTTCCGCACAGTGTGACCGAGAAGTTTGGTTGGTGCGTGTTGCACTTCACCAACATGTGACCATCAACCTCGCTCACGTAGGGACGGGGTTTGTTATGCTGCGGCCGTGCAAACCGGAGGATCTTATCCCCTGAATTCTTTGCGTGCTTTCGTGCAACAACTCACGACACTCGCTAGCTATCGCTGGCGACGCTTCAAGCGAACTTTAGGGATTGAGGGAGCCTCGAATGACCTCCTCGTGCAACCGTGCAAATGCTCCTCCAACCACGCAAAGGCAAGTCATTCACCTTGCCGCCGTCGCCCCAGTCCCCGAGGCGCTCCTCGAAGGGGCACGGGTACATGGGGTTGATGATGAACAGCTTCGTGCCGCGCGTGCCCAGGTCCATGGGCTGTTGAACCCCTTTCAGCTTCGTGTTCCGCCGTTGAACATTCGCCTGACAACACCACAAGGTCGCCACAAGAACCGCGTCAGACCGTTCCTACAACCACTCTCGAGGCACAATGAACTTCCAAATCTTGTTTTCTCAAAGTCACGCAATAACAAAAAACATACCCAGTACGTAGCCTCCGCGTGGCACTGCGCCACGTCCACGTGGCAGGTTCCCCGAGCACTTAACGCTGACCAATCGACTACCCCCACATAGCCTGAATTGGCCCATTGCGGATCGGAATGGCGGCGGGGGCATAGCAAGACCACGAAGACGAAGGCAATAAGTGCAATGCTACAGAGCGCACGAGCCGAGAGCCCGGAAACGCGTGCCTCGACCATGTCTTAGAAGTGGTGGCGAAGTGTTGAATTTGAACTTGAAACTGCTTCTTTTGAGGGCTGCTTGAGAGAACGGTTTGAAAGCGATGCTTTAGCGGCTGCAAGTATTTGGGAGTTGAGCGAGGCGACATTTGTATATGGGGAAATGGCAGCCTTCACCACCACCCAACCTCCTCCGAACCGGCCCTGGAAATGAGCGGTGCGGTGTAGACGTGTCAGGCAACCGAGCCTGGTCCCACAGAACCCACCGAGGCTAGGCGGCCCCGTTTTCACAAGGTTCCCACGGAGGCTAGGTGAACCCACCGTTCACATAGATCCCACCGACGCTAGTCAGCCATTGGGCACCCAGCCCATACGAAACCCGAAACCCAGGAATTCGGCAAGGCTGAGGCGAGCCGCGTACACCTCAAACGGTCCAGCTGATGACAAGCAAGTAAATAAGGAAAAATCATTTTCCTTACTTCGCGTCCCTAATCAGCGCGTACACCACTGTTCCCGCCAACAGCAACAAACATTAATCCGTTACCACTCGCGACACTCGCCTCAACACTGTTCACGGCGCGACCCAACATCACGGTTCGGTTGGTAACCCGCACTCCGGACCTCCGCCTCGACATTTCCCAACCTCGGCGCTAGGCCCGTCGCGCACCCCATTTTCCACACATTACCGTTACCACTGTAGTTTCGCTATATATTCTTCGCGCATGCCTTCGCTCATGGTACTCTTGCTTCGATAGTGCAATTTTCGTTCGTTCACTGAATTGCACTCATAACACTTGGTATTCAGAGCCTACGATCTCTTCTCGGACCGCACCCACACCTTCGCTTCCCCACTATCTCAATTTTTTGGGGGGGGTAGACGTCTCTCAGCGAAACAAGCACCGCCGCTCGTAACCAAGCCACGACAAAGGCTCTCGCTGAGCTTGCCCGACACCCCCGCCATGGCCGAATTCACTCTCACGACACTAACGCAGGAGCAACTCGACCGTCTCGTGCGCCAAATCAAAGACTCTGCACTCGAAATTGCGACACTCACGGCGGAACGCGACTCCGCTCGTCAGCAATCCACGGTGAATGCTCCAGCGCCAACACGCGCACTTGCAAATGCACCTGCACAATCGGAGGAGCTGATCGTCATTTCATCAGGCACACCGACACAAAACGACAGCGTGGGACAGCGCTCAGGCGCAGCCAGTGATGGCGCCGCTCAATCGATGCCTGGCATGGAGAGGAACAGGAGGAATTTGCGGCGAAAAGTGGCAACCACGCCATCATGGCACCAATGCCACTCAAGCCGCAGTGCCCGCCCTGTTTCGACCCGAGCCAGCGTGGAGGTCCGACGGTTCAATCGTGGGTCTTCACGAAAAAAACGTCTTTTTTGACGCGAACTACGTCGAGTCGGACGCAGCGAAGATCCAATATGCCGTCTCGCTGCTGAGGGGCCCCGCCATGGACTGGTGGAGAGTCATTGTGACGTCGCCACGTGCCTACGAGCCACCGTCGCAAGAGGAAGGGCCCACGGGCCCAGCTGTCACATGAAGTTCATTCAACGAAACTGCCCAATACAGCACGTGGGACGCGTGGTGTGCAGGGCTTCGGGCGCGCTTCGAGCCGATCGCGGCTTTTATTTCGGCGTGTCAGAGACTGCGTACTTGGCGACGGCTCGGATCGGTTCAAGACTGTCAGAATCCCAACCACTAGACCATTGGGATAAAAGGGCTTGTTAAGTAGCGGGTCAGTGCGCCCATAACCCCCCAGGCCAACGTGCCTGTAACCCTTCCCTAGGATCAATCGGGGATCACCAGTGGACCTCTGACAAAGACTACACAAGCGGTTTTCTCGCATTATGCGAGCAGGTCGGCTACATGCACGAAGCGGAGCGGGTGGACTACTATGTCGGAGGGCTGAAGCCGGACATCTCGCACGAAATCATGCTATGCGGACTCTCGAATTTCAATGAGATTCTCGCACTCGCCAAGAAAATCGACATTTTCCGCCGTCCGAGACCGGGGTCCTACTACGGACATCGCCCTCGGGGACCGATCGAGCACGCCACTGTACATGCTGTTGCGACAAGTGCAGCTGCCGCGCCGTTTAAGGGGCGCTACTTTGCTTGCAATAGGCCGGGCCATCGCAAGAGTGAGTGCCCAGAGGAGCTAAGGCGTCGCGGAGCAGAGCATGGGAGGGAGTCTCCAAGGCAGGGAAACGCTAGCAGTCAGTAGGAATCGGGCCAACTACTGACGAGATGGCCTGCTCACCCAACCCCACCGACCCTCACCGAGTCACAGTACTGATTCACGCCATTGATCGGGCTCGGACAAATAAGGAGGGTACAGCGACGGATTGTCCAGTACTGATCCACGGGAAAATACAGGGAGCAGCAATGAAGATTTTTATCGACGGAGGAGCAAGTCACAGTTTAGTTTATACCACGACCGCACGGAAACTGCAACTGACACTCAGCTGGTGTTTACCGGAGATAGATGCAACCTTAGTTGACGGCACGCCTTTGGCCATACGGGAGAAGGTGGAAAAAGTAAAAGTCCGCTGCGGGGGGAACTTCGGGTTTACACAGGAAATGCTCGCGACGACACTAGATGGGCACGACATTTTACTGGGACGTGATCGGCCGCGATGGTATAACCCGCGAATTGACTGGAAAACGGGCAGCTGCACTGTGCGAAGTAGCGGTATCTGGGTTGAACTACCTCGCTGGCAGTCGCCTGAGTCTTTAACGGTCCACGTCGACGCCATCACAATGAAACGGGCTGTCGCCGCTGGAGCTGACGTGTATGCAGTGGACATTGCAGTGGTAGAAGAAGCAGAGCAACCGAGCGATTTCAAGAAACTGTTGGCAGCGGTACCGCCCGAACTACAGGAACTGTTGAAACGGTACCCGGGGATTTTTCCCGACGACTTAACGGAGGGACTGCCACCTCTGCGAGCACACGACCACCGAATAGAGTTAGAACCGGAGGCACAGCCAACAGTACAGCGACAGTTCAGACTGACACAACCCGAGCTCGACGAACTGAGGAAGCAGTTAGATTACCTGGTAGAGAAGAAATTCATCCGACCGAGCTTGTCGCCGTTCGCCGCACCGATACTGTTCACACCGAAAAAAGACGGAGGGTTTTGCATGTGCATCGATTACAGGGCACTGAACAGGGTAACGGTCAAGTCGCGATACCCCATTCCCCGCGTCGACGAACTGATAGATCAACTGCGAACAGCACGGGTCTTTTTGAAAACCGATTTACGGGGAGGTTACCATCAGATTCGAGTCGAACCATCCGACTGCGCCAAGACGGCTTTTAGGACTAGGTACGGGTCATTCGAGAACACCGTGATGCCATTCGGGCTGACCAACGCACCAGCGACATTTCATATGACCATGAACGAGGAATTTAGGCCACTTTTAGATGAATGCGTGATAGTTTACCTCGACGACATCCTCATCTACAATCGCGATAAGCACCAGCACTTAGCAGATCTGGAAGCAGTATTTAAAATCTTAGACGAGCACCGGCTACTTACCAAGGGTTCCAAGTGTGAGTTAGGCTAGAGTTTTTAGGGCACGTTATTTCAGAGGCTGGGGTTGAAATTGACCCGAAGAAGCTGGACACGGTGAAAGCGTGGCACCCCCCGATGAATATCACGGAACTGCAAAGTTTTTTGGGGTTCGTCAATTATATGCGTCGGTTCGTCCCCGACATAGCGCGGTTAACGGCGCCACTAACAGATTTTTTGAGAAAGGGGGTCCTTTTTACATGGGGGGAGAAAGAGCATGCTGCCTTCTCTGCCCTGAAAAATGTTCTCCGTTCACCGCCCGTACTGCGCATCACCGACCCACACCGCCCATTCGAAGTAGTTACAGACGCAAGCGACATCGCCATCGGAGCCGTACTCCTACAGGATTTCGGCAATGGGTTACAACCCATCGCATACGAGTCCCGCAAACTGCAACCGCCCGAGAAAAACTACCCGATACACGACCGCGAAATGCTCGCGATCGTGCACGCATTCAATGTGGCGCTGTTACTTGACCAGCACAGACGTGACAGTACGGACAGACCATAAATCGCTACAGTACCTCCGCGCACAGCCCCACCTCAACCCACGATAGATCCGTTGGCTCGATTTTCACGAGTCCAATTTTCACTACACAGTCACCTACAAAAAGGGGGCATCCAACATCGCTGATGCACTGACCCGCCCCACTGCCCAAATTCATGCAATACTACTTGCCCAGACCAGCCCACTACTGACAGGACTATTTACCCACGGATATCAAATAGACCCATTCTTCACAGTAGGGAATTCGCAGCAGCTCGCAGAAGCAAAAGGAGTTTATTACGTAAAATCCGGGACCGACCGCATCTGGGTACTAGGGTACGGGAATTACTACTACAGGAGGCACATTACGGAGTTACCTTAGGCCATTTCGGAGTAAAAAAAATACGGCAGCAGCTGCAGCGGTGTTATTACTGGCCCGAAATGCTGAGCGATGTGCAGCGACACGTGGCATCGTGTCCCACCTGCCAGCTCATGAAAGCATCCCGGAAGCGGCCGGCAGGACAATTGCAGCCAATACCACCCCCAGAGCGTGCTTAGCAGCAGGTGACGATGGACTTCGTCACGGGGTTACCGGCCGGAGCAAGTGGGAAC